GGGGGGGGGGGCGCACAGGGGAACCGCTCCCCGCCCCAGATCACCTCCATTCTGCCTCCTCCGCTGAGCACACAGCCCCCACTCTAAGTCTCCAATCGGCGCCGCAAGCCTGGGACGGGAGGAGAATTAGAGCGGCACCGGCGTGCTCAGCAGAGGAGGCGGGGCGGGCTCCCCAGGCGGGGTTAGCTTCCGCGGGGGGGCTCCCCGGGCAGGGTTAGCTGCAGAGGGGGAGTAGCTGCAGGGGGGAGGGGGGCTCCCTGGGCAGGGGGGGCAGGCTCCCCGGGTGGCGGGCGGGATTAGCTGCCGCGGGGGAGGGGCTCCTCTGGTGCGGGGGTGGGGGGCGTGGTTAGCTGCCATGGGGGGACGGGGTTAGCTGGGGGGGGTGGCGCAAGGTGGAAGTTTCGCCTAGAGCTTGAAACTTCCTTGCACTGGCCCTGATAATGTCCATTCTTCTGTGCTACCCACTCTCTGTATCTTACTTTATTTCTGTTGACTCATAATTTCGCCAGTAATCCTGTGAGTCTACCGAGGTAAATTGCCAGCAATCATGTACTGTGCTATGGGTGCCCCACCTAGTGGAGTTCGTTTTATTTCTCTAGCTGTGGAGCTGTTCTCCATCTTCTTTTTCCAAGAGCGGTATTTTGTTCTTTTCTTTTCCGACAGAGAAAATCTTGTGTCTGGAGAAAGGAAATTCGTTTCAAGTGTTTGGGGGCAGGACCTAGAGATTAAAATGCCACAGTATGTGCAAGGTGCTTCCATCAGTTCATAAACAAGTTAGGCATGATATCTGCAGTAACAAGTGGGAGAAATCCTTGGTGAAAATCAGCAAAGACCAAAGACCTACGGTTTTGTCTATGGTTCAGGAATATTTGTCTGTTGTTTTAATCTGGTCTACAGATCAGAAGTCTAAGAGTTCACTTGGCAGACAGTCCTCGCATTTCACAGCCCAGTAGAACTTTACAGGGCTGGCTACCATCTGCTTGCTGCATACATTCATTTGGAAATGAGACCCCCTCCAAGAACTTGTAGTCCTAAGGTAGAACCCAGCTGTATTTGGTAGACTGGAAACACATTTCATGGAGACTGACTCTCTCACTGGCAATTACTGTACATTCACTGCTAGACTGGGAGAGCTATGATAGTGTGTCTATGACTAAAGCTTGTGGAAGTACAATGATCTAACTAAATTAGGTCTGACCAGCACTTTCCTCCTAAATTCATAGTTTGTCATACTGCACTGACTAGTATTACAGTTTGATGCTAATAATCTAGTCTGCTGTTTGCATCATGATTGTACCTCACTTTGAAGAAGAAAAAGATTCCAGAGAAATAGGCAGTATATTACATAAGAGTATCTCTGGTGCCAGATAAAGTTGAATGTATTAAAGGTACACAAGATGTGCATTGCAGCCTCCTTTCGCTACACTTTCAGTAAATTAGATTTTGTGCACCGCTTTTGTAGATGTGTGTTTCTAGTGGTGCAATTTGATGTAACCTGCTTCGAAATAGGCTTAAATCAAAGCACACTAGAGAACTTATGGTGTGTGGCAGCAGGGCCACATGGACACTTAGTGCATTGCAGTCTAATACAAAGTAAATTTACACACCCGGCTTGTGGCGCACACTAGCTGTTCGTCTAGAAAAGCCATGAGGCTTTTATGGTATTTGAAGTTTTAAGTAATTGACATTAACTAGATGGCACTCAGACCTCAAGATTTGATGTTTTGGGATATGGCAGGGTAGTAAAACATTTTGATGGGACTAATACAGATGCTTTCAGGATCAACCAACTTTACTAAGAACTGGTCCTGGGCCATTGTTTAAAAAGATGTTTTAATTCCCAAATCCCAGCACCACTGCCCACCTGAATCTAGCAGCCACCTCCCTAAACACTATCACCCACCTGTCCCCTAAGATTACCCAGTAAGACCATTCACCAGCATTCAGAGCCAGCAATCTGGTGCATGTCCCTCAGCACTTGGGAGAGTTTAGTAAGGAGGTTGCTTGCCTTAGGGTACGTCTATACTTACCTCCGGG